TACCATTGTCTAGACAGGACATAGTGTATTGGGTCTAGCCATATTCTCTAGTGTAGACTTTACCATTGTCTAGACAGGACATAGTGTATTGGGTCTGTCATCGTCTCTAGTGTAGACTTTACCATTGTCTAGACAGGACATAGTGTATTGGGTCTAGCCATATTCTCTAGTGTAGACTTTACCATTGTCTAGACAGGACATAGTGTATTGGGTCTGTCATCGTCTCTAGTGTAGACTTTACCATTGTCTAGACAGGACATAGTGTATTGGGTCTAGCCATATTCTCTAGTGTAGACTTTACCATTGTCTAGACAGGACATAGTGTATTGGGTCTGTCATCGTCTCTAGTGTAGACTTTACCATTGTCTAGACAGGACATAGTGTATTGGGTCTAGCCATATTCTCTAGTGTAGACTTTACCATTGTCTAGACAGGACATAGTGTATTGGGTCTGTCATCGTCTCTAGTGTAGACTTTACCATTGTCTAGACAGGACATAGTGTATTGGGTCTAGCCATATTCTCTAGTGTAGACTTTACCATTGTCTAGACAGGACATAGTGTATTGGGTCTGTCATCGTCTCTAGTGTAGACTTTACCATTGTCTAGACAGGACATAGTGTATTGGGTCTAGCCATATTCTCTAGTGTAGACTTTACCATTGTCTAGACAGGACATAGTGTATTGGGTCTGTCATCGTCTCTAGTGTAGACTTTACCATTGTCTAGACAGGACATAGTGTATTGGGTCTAGCCATATTCTCTAGTGTAGACTTTACCATTGTCTAGACAGGACATAGTGTATTGGGTCTGTCATCGTCTCTAGTGTAGACTTTACCATTGTCTAGACAGGACATAGTGTATTGGGTCTAGCCATATTCTCTAGTGTAGACTTTACCATTGTCTAGACAGGACATATTGTATTGGGTCTAGCCATATTCTCTAGTATAGACTTTACCATTGTCTAGACAGGACATAGTGTATTGGGTCTGTCATCGTCTCTAGTTTAGGCTTGACCAATGTCTGGTCAGGAGAAGTGTTGTGAGAAGTTCTGGTCATCACAGTCATACTGGACACATGTCCTGATGTGATGGATGACCAGTCTGTCAAGTGGACATTCTTTTGACCTTACACCCTCACATTCACCTTACAGGTGATAAGCCACTTCTGAGTGTAAACATCTTAGTTTATGTAACCTGGACCCTATTGTCTACTGATTTGATCTCAGAGACCTAAAATAAATCTCCAGGGAAATAAATTAAGCATCCCAGAGACTCTGATTGTATTTCTAGACAATATGTAAGTTATTTGTGAGCTCCTCAAAAGACCTGGAATGAGTTCCCTGATAAATTGAATACCATTCTCTGTCTAGATGGACTTCCTCAAGCCAGCTGGAGCTTCACACATCTGGCTGACCAGAGAGATGTATGGTCAGATGTTTTGACCTCTATCTTCTCACCTCTAAGCAGATTACATCTGGTGGTCAGCTGTTCCATATCTTGACCACTCATAGCCACATGTGCACCACTCACTTCAGACTTTGTGTGACCACTGACCACAAAATGACAAGATAAATCTGCTGCACCTATTTTCAAACTCATGATCTATATTTTGTTCTCCTTTCTAATAATGTTTTGTTTCTGAACACATTACTACTAGGTAGTACCTTGATTTTGGCCTCAGTTTTGAGCATTAGCCCAATTGAGGAAGGTCATCTCATCGTCTACTGCTATATAAACTCCAGTACTGTCGCATACAAGGGAAAGTACTAGCATGGATACAGGATTTCCTAAGTGACATGAAACAAGAAGTGGTAGTAAATGGAAAATCCTCTAAAAGTAAGCCAGTCACCAGCGGGGTAACTCAGGGAAGCGTTTTAGGACCAATTCTTTTTTTGATATGTCAATGACATGCCTGAAGTCATCAATTGTACCATCAAACTTTTTGCAGACGACACAAAATTATATTCAAAAATCTCCAACAGCGAATAATTGGAAAATTCAGGGGAGGTAACCACATCTATAATTTACATTTTCCAGATAGTACAACTGAAAAAGAGAAAGTAGAAAACGAGAAGGGTCTTGGCGTCACCATAGACAATAAAACGAGATTTTCAGACCATGTTAACATAGCAGCTACAAAGGCTAACAGAATCCTGGGTACTATCTTCCGTACCTTCACATTTATGGACACAGTCATGTTTACGCTATTTTAGAGTATGGAACACTATATGGTCCCCAATCTTTATCGAAGACAAAATCTCCATTGAAAATGTGCAAAGAAGGGCTTCAAAACGGATCAAAAATGTATCAAATCTACCATACGATGAAAGGCTACGAAAACTGGGACTGCCTACACTCGAATATAGAAGGGGAAGAGCCGACCTAGTCGAAATCTATAAGATCCTAAATAATATCGACCATGTAGACCATGAACATATGTTTAAACCGACATCAAATGTGGGGACCAGGGGGCATCCAAAAAAGCTGTTCAAGAAACCATTTTGCCTTGAAGTAAACAAAAATGTCTTCAGCAATAGGACAATAACAACATGGAACAGTCTACTGGAAGTGATTGCCACAGCAATGAACCTTAACAGCTTTAAAATATTACTGAACAACCATAACATTACCAACAGGTCCAAATTCCGGACCTCTTTTTAGGTCACCTGAGACAAAGTCTCAAGTGACCTATTGCGATCGCCTTTTGTCCGGCGGCGTCCGTCATTCGTCGGGCGTCATCCGTCGTGCGTCCGTAAACAATTTACATTTTCTACTTCTTCTCCAAAACCCCTAAACCAATTTCAATGAAATTTTGCAGAAACCTTCCATGGCCAAAGTTCAACTAAAATTGTGAATTATATGGTCCCCAGCCCCCAGGGGCCTGAGGGGCAGGGCCAAAAAGGGTAAAATTGACTAAAATTTCAAAAATCTTCTTCTCAAGATCCAGATATGGTAGAATCAAATACTCTTCATAGATAGAAGGGTCTTAAGGTGCTTTACTGAAATTGTGAATTTCTTGACCCTGGGGTCTCACGTTTCCCCCTGGGGAGGGGGTAAACTTTACTATAGTTTATATAGGGAAATCACATTTTGGACCAACATTTGTTTAATTTCCATTGGAAGTAATTCAATTTGGGTTAGCATTATCAGTATTAGGTAGCAGTTTGATAGTATGCACCTATGAGCCCTGACTGACCCCCAGGGGCTGATGGGTGGGGCCAAAAAGGGTTGAATTGACTGAAATTTCAAAAATCTTCTTCTCAAGACCCAGATATGGTAGAATCAAATACTCTTCATAGATGGAAGGGTCTTAAGGTGCTTTACCAAAATTGTGAATTTCATGACCCTGGGGTCTCGTGTTTCCCCCTGGGGAAGGAGGGGGGGCGGGCAAAATTTGTTATGGTTTATGATAATATGAAATGATACTTTGAATATTACATGTTGATAACTTGATTGGAATTATAACCCTATAACTTGATACTTTGTAAATTTTGAGCCATCCCTACCCCCAAGTGCAATGTAGGGTGGGGCCCAATGGAGTCTGTGTGCTAAAATAAAATTTCTTCATTTTCCTTGTTTAGAATCAGAGGTGCTAGTTTCAAATCCTTTTTAGTCTGAAATCTGTATGCTAGATATTGAATAAGGTGGTTTTATTGTTTTTTGTCACTTTGAATACTATTTCTGTTCATGTTAAAAACAAAAATCAACTCTCTGTATAAATATATCAGGTGACCGTTAAGGCCCATGGGCCTCTGGTTACAATTAGTACCATGCACACCACATGTGTTTTTAAATATGTGAATTTTTACTGATCATTTGAGAGCAAATCAACAAGTGTGAACTTTATACAGTACGTGTGTAAATATACGTGTGTAACTATAGAGAGAGAACTGTTTATTCAATTTATAATGTGTGAGCAACATGACCTATATACCTCCACAACTCATTAATGTGTAAATAATGGACTTTTATCATTTTAATGAACATTATCAATAAGTAAATGAAGTATAATCAAGACATCTCTAAAAGCTAAAAAGCTGTATCTTTCCCTGTAATATACATCGAAAGATAGGTTCTGACCAACGAATGTCTTAAAAACTGGTACTTCCTGCTCTTTGCTTGATATTTAGCTTTGAATGGATGGCTGTAGCCACTGGTTAGCCCGGCCCATTGTCAGTGTACGGGTGTCAGCCCGGCCCATTGTCAGTGTACAGGTGTCGGTTCGGCCCATTGTCAGCGTACGGGTGTCGTCGTTGTCAATATTACGAGTGGAATGAATAATTATGCCCCTACCATAAAATGGGGTGGCATATAGTGTTGCCCATGTCTGTCCCGTCCTGTTCCGTTTCAATGTAAACACCCATCCCATCGCGTCCCGCCCCGATTCAATGTAAACACTTAGCAACTTCATTCTTTGACAGATTTTGGTCAAACTTTATGGGCAACTTCATTCTTTGACAGATTTTGGTCAAACTTTATCCCAAAGGTCAAGTATGAGTATACTTGTTGTGTTTCAGGGTTCCAAGTTCAAGTCCAAGGTCACTGTTGCTATATATAGAAAATCATCCACTGATTCAATTTAAACACTTAGCAACATCATTCTTTCATGGATTTTGGTCAAACTTTATATAAAGGTCAAATATGGGTATACCTCAGACATCCTTGTGTTTCAGGATGGTAATAACATACAGAAAAAACCTATGAATATTAAAATCAGTTTATCAACTTTGAGTGTAGTACCTTGTGTGTGTGCAGGTTTCAGGGTATCAAGATTAAAGTGGTTTTTGTATTTTATAGAACACTGAAACTAACTTTGCATGGCAGTGGGGGAATTTATGTCTTACAGACATTTTCTAGTTTTTGTATTTTTCAGATTTTCTTTTTCTTCAGATTTTTGCTTTATTATATGATGTTTTAGTGTGAAATGTTTTATTATGTGATATTTTAGTGTGTGATGTTTTAGTGTGAAACGTGTTTGAATTAAATGTTTTCTCCTCCAGATTAAGCAAGGATGTAGTATCAGTCAGCTGGGAAGGTCAAAGCGAAATGCTCGGTCATCAGATGCTAATTCAACTGGTAACAATGGTCAGCTCCCAGACGGCATCAAATCCAAGATCCAAGGTCAACTGGCTGCCCTTGGAGGGGATAAGATCAGTGGCATCCCCTTTGACCCGAGCAAGATCGGGGAAGGGAACGAAACTGGCACGTCGCACCAACAGTACGACTACGGAAGGTATGGCAGTCCCAGGAAAAAACAGAAAAATCATCGTCCCAACACTGCGGCTGGGACTAACCTTGACCGTCTTGTAAAGGACATTAAGGAAAAGGTCAAGATGGCCAAGGACTTCTGGGTACAACTGCCATACGCCATTTGTAATGACGAAAATCTTGCTGCTCAGGCCGGCAATGATGAAGACTGTTGGAATGGACAGGACAGGGCAAGGTAATGTAATGTAATGTGAAAGCCACAAGGTCAAGGTCATTTTAAGGAAATTGGAAAAAAAAAGTTTTTTAAGGTTTAAAAATTAATTATTTCAACCTAAAACAATTACAGGAATGTTAATAAAATATACAACAGAATTCTATCAAACTTTAAAAAAAAGTTTGTTATCCTTCAAAAGTTTCAAAACTTTTCATTCAACATTCGGATCGACAGGTATGTTCCTGAGGTACAGAAGGATGGCATTATCAACCAGATCAACAATCCTGAGGTGGAGGTTGATGTCAATGAGGGCAACTTTGTCATCGAACAACAGAAAATACAGCTCAAGATCATCACCAGTAAACTGAACACTGCATTCAACGGCGAGGAAGTCGACTGGATAGATACAGGTAAATGGTTTAAAGGGAACTAGCTCAGTGAAAATCCAACGGTTTGGGGAAGGGAAATGATCGACAAGGCCTAAATAAGGATGTGAAGAGGGAATATCTTAGCAAAAATAGGAATGTTGACAGGGGAGGTAACTCTGCAAAGATTAGAGTTGTGGACAGGGGAGGTAACTAGTAAAGACAACAATGGATGTGGACAGGGGAGGTAACTAAGTTTAGACTGAACAAGGGTTGTGACAGGGGAGGTAACTCAGTAAAGACTGAACAAGGGTTGTGACATGGGAGGTTACTCACTAAAGTCTGAACAAGGGTTGTGACAGGGAAGTTAACCCAGCATAGTCTGAACAAGGGTTGTCACAGAACTCACTTAAGAGTGAACAGGGGTTGTCGACAGGGGAGGTAACCCAGTAAAGACTGAACAAGGCTTGTGACAGGGGAGGTAAATCAGTAAAGACTGAACAAGGCTTGTGACATGAGAGGTAACTCACTGAAGACTGAACAAGGGTTTTGACATGGAAGGTTACTAACTCAAGACTGAACAAGGTTTGTGACAGGGTAGTTAACCCAGCAAAGTCTGAACAAGGATTGTCACAGGGGAGGTAACTCACCAAAGAGTGAAGAAGGGTTGTGACAGGGGAGGTAACTCAGTAAAGACTGAACAAGGGTTGTGACATGGGAGGTTACTTACTAAAGACTGAACAAGGGTTGTGACAGGGAAGTTAACTCAGTAAAGTCTGAAAAGGGTTGTCACAGGGGAGGTAACTCACTAAAGAGTGAACAAGGGTTGTCGACAGGGGAGTTAACTCAGCAAAGACTGAACAAGGGGTGTGGACAGGGGAGGTAACTAGCAAAGACTGAACAAGGAGTGTGGACAGGGGAGTTTACTCAGCAAAGACTGAACAAGGGGGTGTGGACAGGGGAGGTAATTCACTAAAGACTGAACAAGGGTTGTGGACGGGGGAGGTAAGTCACTAAAGACTGAACAAGGGTTGTGGACAGGGGAGGTAAGTCACTAAAGACTGAACAAGGGGTGCGCACAGGGGGTAACTCACTTAAGACTGAACAAGGGGTGTGAAAAGGGGAGGTAACTCATTTACCCTTTCACTACTGTAGACCATAATGAACCCCTCCATTTCAATGCATGGTAGAGTCTACTTAAGTTGCATAGGGGTGAAAGGGTTAAAGACTAAACAAGTGTATGGTACAAAAAAGATACTGAAAGAAAGCAGGTGAATCTGACCAGGACTGTTTTACTAGAATGATGGACCAGTATGTACCCTACCAGGCCTGTTCTGACCAGGACTGTATGACTAATGTGGGGGATCAGTATGGAGATGTAAATATACCATACCATGTTATGGTAATGTCACAGACTAATAAGCTGCTTATAATTTGTGCAGGAAGGTATTGCTATGAAAATAAGAGGTTGTAATCTGGAGGATGCAGTATGAGATGTCTGGCTGGAGATGTAATATAATTATAGAGAATCTCCTTTGCTTCATGTCTGTCAGTAAGTCTGGCCCAGTATTGACCCGATGTTGACCATGGCTAGCTGTGACAAAGTCTAATTAATTATCTCTACTTATGGAAACATTTCTTAATCTATACTTTACTTGACTGTAGAGCAGACGGAATCTTATGGCTTTCCATCCGTCTATTTTTCCTGGTTACTCTGTGGGGTAGTATGTTACATTGGGTTTATTTCCGTAGGTCAAGGATGAACGCTAATAAATGAAAATACTGAACTGTTACAAAGGTCAGGGGTCCGAGTTAAAAAGTGAAAACATGTAAGCAGGTCAGGGTGAAAACTCCAGGAGGGACAGATTTCACTTCAATTAGTAAGTATGCAGTCTAAACTTGGGTCATCAATCAAAATGTAAAAGTAGTACTTTCTGTAGCTCATATATCAAAATGTAAAAGTAGTACTTTCTGTAGCTCATATATCAAAATGCAGTATCCTTTTGTATGTCAGGTGTGCAACAAAGGTGAAAGGTCAAGGTCATCAGGTCATTGAATTCTGCTGCTCCAATCCCAAACACACACCTGTGAATCACACTCACGATGTAAACAACTTTAGTTGACATTCTCTTGCTGCTGTTGAAAGGTGCTTTGGACTGGCCAATACACTAAAGCCATTCAAGACATGAATCATGAATGTAGACTATATTGAGCTCGGAACTGAACTTACAATTGACCAACCTGTAATGTGAACTGTCCTTGGTTTCGTATTTGTGGGTTTTCAAGGACAATGATGACATAAACATGTCTGTAGGCTTGGTAACGTGTCTCCCACTTCTACACAGGAAGTCTCGCTACCTAATATAGTCCCACACAACCAAATATGGTACTTATCTCGTCCCACACAACCAAATATGGTACCTTTATCCTCCCACATGACCAAATATGGTACATATATCGTCCCACACGATCAAATATGGTTCTGTTTTGTGTCGTCTAAAGGTGGTAGTCAGGTTTTACTTCCCTTTTATCCTTGGCAGAATACAATTAGCAGATGTAAGGCATTATATATGAATTTGATATTAGCATAGGTTGAGGTAACTCAGGTTGTATATTAAATTTGATGTCAATCTTTAAAATAAATTGGATGTAGAAGATTTGAAGCATTACTTGTTTAATTGAGTGTAAACTTAAATATGGTTTTTTTATCCATCAACATGACTTGTTTATCTCATTTTGTTCAGTTTGCGAAATTGGGAAATTTCTACCCATAACATGATAACAACTGGTATCAGTTAGACAGATTTGATTATTATAAAACTACTGTTATTAAGCTGTGGACACCAATTAAGAGAAAAGAAATCTATAGTTAGATAATTTGATTGACATTGCTGTACAGTTTTTCTTGATTTTTTAACAGCTAAATAAAAATATTGTTAAAAACGAAATTTCTCAAATTTTAGAACTCCTCAAATGTTTTATCAACAAGCCAACAAGTATCTATGACAACCATTCCAGGAATCAACCACAGGACTGATAATTTAGTACATAGCTGTTAAATTTGATGAGTTGTCGGTCTCTTGTTGTCATTAATCTTTACCATAACATTTCACAGTCAGTCATAGCATATCTGGTGCATATTTCCAGTTCAGACTTCATAATCCCATCTCCACTTCATACTCTGTTTACTACGTCTGAGAAAGATTTTTCGTAATTTTTGTGCAAAATTTATATTATTTACAATCGGAAGGCTTGGGTTCACTATTGAAATGAAGAATTTCTTTTATTTATAGAAATTAAAAAATATATTGAAAGTACATTGTAGTATGAAAAATGTTAATTTCCATTGAGGCAATGTAAGCTTGCAAGGATTACAGCTAAGGAGTGTAAGAAGAATGTAGGGAAGAAGGAGCTGTGGGAAAAGGGTGTGGCTCTGTCAGGGTAGACAGGACACGCTGGGATGCTGGAGGGGGTCCTGATAACACCTTCTCATAAACGATGCACATGCTTTGCCAAACAACGTGCATCACAACACACACGTGTTGGGGGGGGGGGGGGGGGGCATTAGCTGTACATACTTCAAAACACAAGTGTTTGAAAACATGTCATGGAACTGAAACATTCCACTTAATTTTCATATCCCTTATGCAATTTTAATTTCTATGCTAGTCAATTAATTCACAGACCGGTAGGGCAGCATTAGTGTGTGGTGTGATTGTCGTTTGATAATAGAACAAGTTGTGTACAGTCTGAAAATGATAATGTGGCGTTTGTTTTGGTCATTTTGCTTTATTAGGTCACCTGAGCTTTAGCTCAAGTGACCTATTGCTATCCGTTTTCGTCCGTCGTCGTCCGTTAACATTTTACATTTTAAACTTAAAGTCAAGTTCTGCTGGGCCGATTAAACTGAAAGTTGGTAGGAATGATCGCCTCATGGTCCTGACAAAGTGTTGTTATTTTTCGGGTCGATCAGAAATCCAATATGGCCGCCACGGCCGCCATTTTGAAAACCTATTTCAAACTTAAAGTCAAGTTCTGCTGGACCGATTGAACTGAAAGTTGGTAGGAATGATCGCCTCATGGTCCTGACAAAGTGTTGTTATTTTTCGGGTCGATCAGAAATCCAATATGGCCGCCACGGCCGCCATTTTGAAAACCTATTTCAAACTTAAAGTCAAGTTCTGCTGGGCCGATTGAACTGAAAGTTGGTAGGAATGATCGCCTCATGGTCCTGACAAAGTGTTGTTATTTTTCGGGTCGATCAGAAATCCAATATGGCCGCCACGGCCGCCATTTTGAAAACCTATTTCAAACTTAAAGTCAAGTTCTGCTGGGCCGATTGAACTGAAAGTTGGTAGGAATGATCGACTCATGGTCCTGACAAAGTGTTGTTATTTTTCGGGTCGATCAGAAATCCAATATGGCCGCCACGGCCGCCATTTTGAAAAACTATTTCAAACTTAAAGTCAAGTTCTGCTAGGCCGATTGAACTGAAACTTTGTAGGAATGATTGACTCATGGTCCTGACAAAGTGTTGTTATTTTTCGGGTCGATCAGAAATCCAATATGGCCACCACGGCTGCCATTTTGGAAAACTATTTCAAACTTAAAGTAAAGATCTACTTGGCCGATTGAACTGAAACTTTGTAGGAATGATCGAATCATGGTCCTGACAAAGTGTTGTTATTTTTCGGGTCAATCAGAAATACAATTTGGCTGCCATGGCCGCTATTTTGCTACTAAGTTCTAATAGGCCGATCTCACTTAAAATTGGTCTAGGAATGATCAGCTCATGGTCCTGACAAAGTTAAGTTAACATTATACTATTTTTTACTCAAATTGGTACATATTTCAACAACAAAAATAAATACTGTAGACTCAGGTGACCGTTTAGGCCCATGGGCCTCTTGTTAGTGTATGCTATAGTGGCCTGTTTTTAATGTCTTTTTGTGACCATAACTCACATATGTTTTCATGAGATATTTATTTTTGATGACGTTTGTGAATTCAAAATATGTTTTGACATTACTGAAAGGAACAATATGTAATCAGTTGCTTGAAGGGGGGAGGGAACAATATAACTCATTCACGCCTGAAAACATATTTGAACTCTTCCAATTTAAAGGTTGGAATAGTTCATTATGCTATTTCAGGGGTGGATGAGTAAGGCAAAACAGAATCACCAGAGTACATTATATGACATGCATGCTATTTTACCTAATTATGTGATATAATTATTAGTAGAATTTCAAGTTGGGTTAATTTGTTTTTCAACCAATTAGCTAATTTGCTTATGCTAGGTGACAAAAATTAACATACATATATTTGAGAGATACAATTTGGGAGGGGCTTAATTGCAGGCACCTACCCTGTTTTAAGGACATTTGCCAAAGTGGGCTTATTTGCGAGTGGGGGCTTATTTGCAGTCAAATACGGTACATTACAGTAACACAGGATCAAGAGTGGAAGAAATTGTTTGTGTACATTACAGTAACATAGGTACTGGAATGAGATTGAAGAACCATTTTTATTCAAGGTCACTGGGGTCAAATATGTTTAAAACCTTTAAACAACTTCCGAATAACCAAGAGGCCTAGAGTTATGATATTTGGCCAGTAACATGCTTAGATGAAGAGCTACCAAGTTTGTTAAAAAAAAAATGACCTTGATTTATATGCAAGGTCACTGGGATCAAATATGTTTAAAACCTTTAAACAACTTCTGAATAACCAAGAGGCCTAGAGTTATGATATTTGGCCAGTAACATGCTTGGATGAAGAGCTACCAAGTTTGTTAAAAAAAAATGACCTTGATTTATATGCAAGGTCACTGGGATCAAATATGTTTAAAACCTTTAAACAACTTCTGAATAACCAAGAGGCCTAGGGTGATGATATTTGGCCAGTAGCATGCTAGGATGAAGGGCTACCAAGTTTGTTCAAATGAATGACCTTTGCCCACTTTTAGGTCACCTGAGCTTTGCTCAAGTGACCTATTCCAATCACTTTCCGTCCGTCCGTCCGTCGTCCGTCGTCTGTCGTGCGTAAACTTTTACATTATCAACTTCTTCTCAAAAACCAGTGGATGGAATTTTTTCAAACTTGGTCAGAATCATCCTTGGTAGATGAGGCTACCAAATTGTAAAATTGGGATTCCTACCCCAACCCTAGGGGCCAGGGCGGGGCCCAAAAGGGAAAATTAACCAATATTTCAAAAATCTTCTTCTCCAGACTCAGAGGTATTACAGTCATTTTCTCTGCATGGATGGAAAGATCATCAGGGGCTTTATTTAAATTGTAAATTTCAGGACCCCCGAGCTATCCGTTCTCCCTTGGGGAGGGGGTAAAGTTTACTATAGTTTATATAGGGAAACAACACTTTTGGGTATATTTTGACAATTTTCTGTTGGAAATTATTTTTACTTGGTCAGAATCATCCTTGGAGGAGGAAGATGGTTTTAAATTGTAAAATTGGGATTCCTACCCCAACCCTAGGGGCCAGGGCGGGGCCCAAAAGGGAAAATTAACCAATATTTCAAAAATCTTCTTCTCCAGACTCAGAGGTATTACAGTCATTTTCTCTGCATGGATGGAAAGATCATCAGGGGCTTTATTTAAATTGTAAATTTCAGGACCCCCGAGCTATCCGTTCTCCCTTGGGGAGGGGGTAAAGTTTACTATAGTTTATATAGGGAAACAACACTTTTGGGTATATTTTGACAATTTTCTGTTGGAAATTATTTTTACTTGGTCAGAATCATCTTTGGTGGATGACGGTATCAAATTGTAAACTCGGAATTCCTGCCCCATCCCCAGGGGTTAGAGCGGGGCCCCAAAGGGAACATTTACAAATATTTTAAAATTCTTATCCTTTGATGACATGACAAGTATTGTATTTCACTTAGTTTACATGCTGATTTCCACATCACATCTAAACAATAAAATAAAGCTACCAGTACCTATGATATAACTCAGGTGACCGCTAAGGCCCTTGGGCCTCTTGTTTCTGAATTACTTTAAACTTTAAATCAAGACACTGATATTTTGCCTGTGGCTTTATTTTAGTCCTCCTTAAAGGTTACAATTGTGATATTAATACCAGGTGAGCGATGCAGGCCCATTGGGCCTCTTGTTATGTACATTACGGTACTTTTACAAACCCAGTGCCACGCTATATGGCATAGGTACTAGAGTGAGAATGAAGAGCTAGTTGTATGTACATTACGGTACTTTTACAAACCCAGTGCCACGCTATATGGCATAGGTACTAGAGTGAGAATGAAGAGCTAGTTGTATGTACATTACGGTACTTTTACAAACCCAGTGCCACGCTATATGGCATAGGTACTAGAGTGAGAATGAAGAGCTAGTTGTATGTACATTACGGTACTTTTACAAACCCAGTGCCACGCTATATGGCATAGGTACTAGAGTGAGAATGAAGAGCTAGTTGTATGTACATTACGGTACTTTTACAAACCCAGTGCCACGCTATATGGCATAGGTACTAGAGTGAGAATGAAGAGCTAGTTGTATGTACATTACGGTACTTTTACAAACCCAGTGCCACGCTATATGGCATAGGTACTAGAGTGAGAATGAAGAGCTAGTTGTATGTACATTACGGTACTTTTACAAACCCAGTGCCACGCTATATGGCATAGGTACTAGAGTGAGAATGAAGAGCTAGTTGTATGTACATTACGGTACTTTTACAAACCCAGTGCCACGCTATATGGCATAGGTACTAGAGTGAGAATGAAGAGCTAGTTGTATGTACATTACGGTACTTTTACAAACCCAGTGCCACGCTATATGGCATAGGTACTAGAGTGAGAATGAAGAGCTAGTTGTATGTACATTACGGTACTTTTACAAACCCAGTGCCACGCTATATGGCATAGGTACTAGAGTGAGAATGAAGAGCTAGTTGTATGTACATTACGGTACTTTTACAAACCCAGTGCCATGCTGTACTTGGTGTATGCTATCAAAGTCTATGCCATTACAGACCTGTCAAAGGGCATACAATTAGATTTGGGAGGATTTAATCTCTAGATATGAAAATTATGGGTACAGATGAAGATAACCTAATTGAGTATGTGTTGGGAGAGTTGCTGACATTCCAATGGACCGATACCGAGGTGGAACCCATTTACGTAATACATCACACAGATACGCATAGTTTTTGGGGGAGAAAATGATACTCTTTACTTCGCTGATCATTTTCACTTGTTTTTTTTAAAGGACTGCCATGTTATTCACAAAGATACGTTTCTCCAGTTTCAGATTTGCAGACCAAACACAACTTTTTTTCACCCGACATTATTTCTTTTTTGTACTCCTGTTGTGATATTCTGTAATCGAGTTTGTAACCTGTCCATCCCTCATTCAAACCATCGTAACCTCTGTCCGTCAGCCAATCAAGTGTAACCTGTCTGTCCATCAGCCAATCAAGTTACAATTTTATCACCTGAAGGATGACGGATAGCTGGTTGATGGGCCTGTTTTTCGTTTATGTGTTAGTGAGTAGAACAGTTTGGAAGCCAGTGAAAAGACTCTGGTATCCTAGTAACGTAGCAGATTCCTTAGCTTGATGAAATATTCATAGAGAAAAATATTGTAGGGGTTATCATATTGGAATCAATTTAAATTTTCTGTGAATAATGTTATCAAGTTTTTTGTACGAAAATAACCAGTATCTCTTTACATTTCAATCCCAACTTTTGTGTCTTCCTTTAAATAGATTTACCTTTTTCACCAATAACCAGAATGCTTATTGAAAATCAATAAAAAAAATTGAATGTGGATCAAAGAATTTGAGTCGGAAGGAATGGGTCTAGGAGTTTTATTGGTTCAGAGGTACATAGTGATTGGTTGTGTGTTCCCATTTCATTACTTCAAGGAGAAATAGCAATACATTAATGCTTCCCAGTTCATAAGTTAAAAGGGGTTAAGAATAGTTTATGTGTGTTCAGAGTTCATCAAATCAGGGTTAAAGAGAAATATTAGTGGGTTCAAAGTTCATGGTTCAGAGGCTAAGCAATATGTTTCAGAGTTCATTATTGTTCGTACAAAGTTTATTGCTTCAAAGGTTAAGACCAATATGCTATGGGTTCCACATTGATTGGTTCAGGGAAGAAGAACAGTATAGATGGAGGTTCTAGGCCAGTAAGTGGGTTCAGACGGAGAGGCTGCAGGAGAGAGTAATAGACGTGCTCAATAGATAAAATTCTATAGGCTCCGCTAGATAATAACAAAATTAATGTAATAGAATCAGTACACATAAGGGGAGTCACTGTCGCAATCTTGAGCAAACCATTAAAGATAAGGGTGGAACGGTTAGGAGATCCTCCTCAGGTTTTGATGTGGTGCCAGTCGACAAACTAGAAAGGGGCTTGGAATCTTAACTTTTCTGCTGTATCGGTGAAATGGGCTAGAGTTAATCGCGTCATTTTGGTACGTTAGGAAACATTGGCTGCCTGGTAGTTCTGCATGGGGGTATTTATCTGCATAATCATCTCCTTGTTTGTATAGATAGGTGTGTGTAGCGTGGACTCCCAGGTATTCTCCTCGACTGATAACCAGGTAGAGTGAAGAGGCGTCTGATTGAGTGTGGGTGCGGAAAGTTTTTAAACAAAACTATCAAAATCTCATCATTTATACTTCAAATCTAAGGCTTCACCATCAAATGACATCAAAGGGCCGAGTGAATTACATAAGTGAGACCTGTTATCATTTCAAAATTATTGTGTGAATGTTTTTATCTAAAATATGAGATATGAACAGGGCTGTGAGGAGTGTGAGGATTGTTTTATTCTACTATTGAATGTAAACAAATTTTTTTCAAAGTCATATCCAAATGTGTTTGAGGAATATGGTTATAGAAGTTAAGAAAACAAAATGATCTGATTGGTTGACTTTTTTGGTCCTTTGTTGTCATGGTTACTTTGTTGCTGTTTCAGAAATTGACGTCGGGTACAGTAGTTACTCAAGCGGAATGGGAAGCGGTGATGACTACAGTATCGACGGCAGTGGAGCTGGTAGCGGTGACGGAGGTAGTGGCTCCGGAGACGGCTGGACTGGTGATGACGAAGACGATCTTCCACGTAGACCAAATAAAGACAGGCGCCCAGGGAATAAAGATAGAAATCGCAACAAGGGATCAGGCAGAGACAAAACTCACACAGATGATAACTTCTTTATTGGACCTGAATATGGCGTCAACACGAATGACGGAAATGGATTTAATCCCCCACCACGAACAGAGACCACACCCACACCAAGTGCGGCTGTACCACAAACATCAGTGTCCTGGACGTGTTTGTCAATATTAGTTATTACAGTGATAAAAACAGCTATAGATATTACACTTTGAAGATAACAGAAAAGATTAGTATGCAGAGGAAAGTAAGATCATAAAGTATTTGAAGTGATACAAAAATTATTTTGTGACGGATAGAAAAAGCTGTTCAAGTCCAGGTCGTATGGAAGCTTGGCAGGGATACGTGAATTACCATACCAGATGGGTACATCAACTGGTACACTAGCCAATCATCTTTGTACATAGGATCATGTGATATATGCGACATCGTCATATCCACACCTATACCTTGTTGCCATGGAGATGGTATCACCAGTATACAGTAATAGTCCTTATATATGTTATTCTGTCGCAAAAAAATATTGTGCGTACGATACGTCGCAATGTTGTGACGGTCAGTTTGTTACCAAAATTTTCATTGGCCAGTTCAATTAGCAATGGTCTATATATGTAGCATATGAATATATATATATATATACATATTATATCATCATTACTACTGATTACCAGGCAACAGAACACCCTTTTCACAACTTCTGTCATCAGGCAAGTTTAAGTAGGTATGTTATAGTAATTGTTGAGCTTGAATTATTATTTTCTCTGAAGATGTGGGGTTTATTAGCAATGATATAAGTTTTATACTAAATAGTTTCTCTAACTGATTCAAGAGTTTCACCGTACAAAAGTTTGAGATGCTGACATATCAACAAAGACAAAAGCTTGCCTGCAATAGTGTCCACACTTAGTTGACCTTATTCCCCTTTTGTCAAATTGCAAACGTAAGAGCTGGCCTACAGAGTGTGACATCGCATCAAAAAGTACAAAACCCTCGTTATCTTTAGGCTGAGGAAGATGACCTTCGCATGCGCACTGGTCATGTGACTTTTACGTGACTCTATACATAGAATACATATCATGTGACCAGTGCACGGTGGATAGACATGTGATTTCTATAGCACTTTGTGACTATTGAAGAACACTGAGCATGTCTTGTCAAAGCCAGCACTCTGGAATAGTGGAGCAGATCATCAACCAACCATGGCACAGCAATGGCTGTAAGGAGATGTCATCTTGGATGGGATATTAGACATTGAAGAGGCCTAATTTTATAGATACAAATTTACTTTCATGTCTGGTAAACATGTACAGTGTATATGTATATAAAGATAGATCTGGTCCTTGAATAAACCCATAACCTGTTGACGAAATATCAAGGAGATTTAAAAAAAACTCTTCTTTGAAATCTGATTCAGAGAAATGCTTAGTATATATCTGTTTTTGCCATTTATAATAAGAGTTTGTGCTACCCTGACGTTGTAGAGGTTCTGGGGGCCCAGACAGGAAGGTTGCTAAGGATGAGATAGATGTGTGTCGCTAATACTGTAAGTGCTAGCTGTGTTTATAATAAGGGTAAGTTTTACGGGGGAGACAATGACGTCATATGATGATGACTAATATTTAGATGGTTGTACATAGAGTGTTGTTCGAATCATTGGGTTTTTTTCGTGTGTATAATTTCATTACTATACCATTTTGCCAAATTTTGTTTGTATTATGAAGTTCATTTGTATCCTATTTTAATTATTAATGAAAAACTGATCACTTTAATTATTATGTGTACATGTAAGTTATAAATTATAACGTTACTGATTTTATTTATGTAATAAATGCAGTTGCCTATAGGAATACCGGTTTGTCAAATTCATTTTTTCTTTGCATTTCTGCAAATATTTTGATAATTTTATTCTGATCACTGTTTGACAGTTTTACCAGATTTTAGCCAAAAACAATTTCAGTTTTAATTGAACAATTTGTGATAATTAAACAAGATTTGTGATATAACATCAGTTATTGATGTCAGAATCACACCTTTCATGCACCATGTTAGACAATCAAAATCATTACCATATGTTTAGGACTGAAAATGTACTCGTGAAAACAAATATTTAAAAAAAAAAATACAAAAGGAAAATCATGTACAGAACTAAATCATGTTGAAATTGTTTTCTGTTTTAGTTCAATCACAGCAAACAAAATCATTCAGGTTTTTCCAATCAAAATTGATTTTACATAACTGCATGGGGAATGTTGACATGAGTTTTCAATGAATTTCATTGGATGTGATTCTGTTTTATCTAGATAGGATAAATACAATTGTGACCTCTTTAATTGGGCTCTTTTGTGATTTATAGAAAATGCTGAATTAATGTGAAATAGCAAAACTGGAAATAAGGCAAACCATTTATCAACAGAATGCATTTCTTAATCACATCATCAGCCTAACACAACTATATTGGTATACAGGTGTGTTGGACTGATTCAAACCAGATCCTTCACGCTGGTCCTCTGTGATACACTCTAGTGTACGTGTAGCACCTGGCAACATAAGGGGTCACTTTATGCTGACCGTTAGGGCCCAACAACATAAGGGGTCACTTTATGCTGACCGTTAGGGCCCAACAACATAAGGGGTCACTTTATGATGACTGTTAGGGCCCAACAACATAAGGGGTCACTTTATGCTGACCATTAGGGCCCAGCAACATAAGGGGTGACCATTAACAATAGCCAATTACTGTGATGCCCTCGAAATTCTTAGTATTGGAAAAATATGTGTGTTATTCGGTAGTGTAAATTGGATAGGTCCACAGAACATGATCCCGGTGTCTGTTTCTACACCGTAGAGGAACAGAGTGAAGATTTGATTTGGATCAAAATTTACAGGTGTGTTATCATTTCATCAAATTATTTTCACACACAGATTAAGTATATAAGCTCAGGGTCTTTGAAATTTCACTTTTGTTTTGAAAATGTTTGGCTGATTTGTTTCACAACTTCAACCATTTACTACATCACAATGCCTATAACACAACAGTTGTGGTTTTGAGCTGGTTGTTCAGTAACTGAGATTTCTGTTGTCGCTGTCTGTGGTATAGTGACAGTTATTGTGTTTGCTCCTGAAATACTTTTACTAAAATAAAGCAATGCACAAGATGTGCATGACAAAAGTACTCTAAGTGTGCATGTATTTAATTATCACAATTGTATTTTAGCGCTCAAAGATATGTTCATCTATTAGCATATTCATTGATTCCTTAACTCATTCACCCTTGAAGACACATTTGAACTCTTCCAATTCAAAGGTTGGAAAAGTTCATTATGAAATTTCAGAGGTGAATGAGTTAACTTAGTAGAAGCATGTATTTCTCTAGTTAGCGATATACAAAATTAGCACACACGGAATATTGTAAAATAGCCTAAAATGCGACACTCAATAACGTAAGTTTAGAATTGCTTTTAACTATTTCTTTCGAAAAAAAATCCAGAATTGTAAAAAAGTTGTCACTGTAGTTGTAGATATACTGTGATAGCTTAACCGTCTATATTTATATCAGCTCGGCTCCGGAAAACTAATTACATAGAGGAATTGTGTAACAATGGTGGACACGTCATGTGATTTCTGCTGTACATACAAAATACAGCTTGTTGGTTGTGTTACATTATTGGTCTTTGTGTCGCATTTCATTTTAATTAAAAGAAAAATATATTTGTTGTCTCTAATAAATATTCAAGATTGCAAACATTTCATGTTTGGTTTAGATTGTAAAATGGCTCTTGATATATATTGACCAATCAGACTTAGTGTTATTGTATTCAGATTGTAAGCTCTGTTTATATTAGAATTTAAGATGTTTCTATGGGTCAATTTCTGACACAGGCTTTTAGAAATCATTTTGATTCTTTCTGGTCCCTATCATGGGGCAGTAAGGCATATTTTTATCGAAGTTTAGAAATCCAGGAAAAGAAATGGAGTTTAGGGGTAGGATGATAAAGTAAGGTTTGGGGGCAAGGATAGCCTCTATATATAGAAATGACCAGTAAGTATCGACGTTGTGATTGGTCAGTGTAACGATAAGGTTTCAAGGTCAGTAGTCAGTTTTCATTGTGATGTCTGAAATGACCTTGTATCTGACATGACCTTAATGACATGACCTCGTGTCATGTATATGACATTGTGTGTATATGACCTGATATTGGGTATGACATATGACCTTGTGTGTAATATGACCTTGTGTTGTACATTATCACGTCTCTGAAGTGTTCTGGTGTTTACAGTTAACAGTTGTCATAGTAATAGCAGTCTGTTTATAACGTATATAATCTGAAAAACTTGCTAATTTCTCGCCCCCGTCGGATACAACAGGCACACACCTGTAACAATCTAAATACCACAGTATTTTGCTGGTTGCATTTTGTCTAACACCTGTTCAGGAGTAGCAGCAGACCTGGCGTTTGACCCGTTGTAATGTCTGTTAAATATATGTCAGGTTTTAAAACCAGGTACCTGTGAATGTGTGTGTCTAGGTGTCTTGTGTTTGTGTCTCTAAACTGAACCAGATGATCTGTTTATCTGTACATGTATGCATGCATCTTAACCGACTTAAGATATCCTGTACCTGTTCAAACTGTAGAAAATGTAATATTTTTGAAGCAGTCTTCGATCAGATACGTATATATTAAATTCAAACATTGAATATCCCCCAATGTTATGGTAAGGGGTAGAAATCTTAAATTCAAGAGTATTCAACAGAACAATTTTAAATCTGGAATTATTATTTTTTCATGGTTGGGATTTGTTTTCAAAGATTTGGGTTTGAAAAATGATTAAAGCAGATGCTTTGCTTGATATAATGTCCAGTTTTGTTTAGAAAAACTGCTGGTGTTTTTTTTGTAATGAAGATCATATCTATGTAACAAATAAACTATTGATGTGACATGGATTTTAATAGTGCAACATTGTTTTTATTTTATTTTTAAATCACAATATATCGCCCAGTCAGCATTGAGTTGATTTTCTGTTTCATGTTGGTCATTTGTGTTTGTTTATTATTATTATTATTATACAGCCCACGCGGCTTGTTAGTGGTTTGTTTTATTGACAGTAGGTGTTTTACTGACTTACATTTGAAAAAATGATTGTATTTCAGAATTATTCAGTTGAGCTATTTAATATATACGGTAGACTTCAAAATCAGATTTCATGAACATTTTAACGAAAACACATTTACAATACCAGAACTACATAACTCATAATTAAATACAAAACTTTTATTTCAATTATATGAAAAGAATATGGAAAGCAATATATTTTTATTTCGAACATATTTTTTTTTTTTTTTTTAATCTCAAAAAGCATGGCATGCTTTCGTGTGTGTAATTTGTCGTGTGTTTATCATGAATGTACGGTTGTATGTCTTTGTTGATATATTTTTCCAAGCTTTCTAGATATTTATAATCAAAATGATTTAAAGTATGAAAACATATCGTTGAAAGTCGAGCACCAGTTCTAACAAAGTGCGACTTTAATTGTTCATAGTATTTACGTATTCATGTTTTCAGCTAAACAAAATATGGTGATGTGTGTTTTTGTACATTTTTTTTTTAATTCATCGACACTTTCTCATTTAAATCTTAACATGATCATAATATCTCTGTACAGGGGATGCCTTGAAGCTTGTGTAGTTTATTGTAGAAAAGTGAAATTTGATTTAGAATTCTGTAAATTTCTTTAGATCCTTTATTTGATCTTCATATATTTCATTTAAAGTGATATGCTACCTTACACATGATACCTCTGAACTATGTTAGAGTTAACTCCCTTAGTTTCCAACTTTGATATCAACCGATGAACAGTAACCTTTCACAAAAACAAGGTTTATGAGGTCAGGGAAGTTTTGGTTTTTTTCTGAAAAGAAATACATGTCACAAAAATAAGGTAGCATATATCCTTAATGTGAATTTTGTTAAAAACTGATTTACAGCAAATTGACAAAGTTAAGGTTTCCATTATTCTGTATAATGCATTAAATGATTTTCAATTGTAGATCTTGAATTTAAACAGTTTATAAATTTGATTTGGCTTCAGCAAAACAAAATTGAGGAAATATTTATTATATTTATGATAGAATTATGAAGATTTTTGACTGTGATAGTTGTCTGTAGATATATAACACTAAAACCTATTTTGAGATGTCCCCTAGAACAGACCTATTTCGAGATGCCCCCTGTACTGTCATCCATAGTTGTCATGGTTAGTCACATTGTCATCAGAAAGACATCTTACTGTAACTCTATGCTCCTCTGATAGATTTCATAATACGAGGAAATTATTTTATTGAAATAAAAATTTATACACTGTGGAAAAATTGTTGTGTTGTGATTCTTGTGTCTGTTGTTTTAATTTTATGATGCCAACTTTTAACAAATTGACCTTGCCTGATTTTCTTGATTTCTTCTCTCAATATTACAATACAGTGATGAAGATTATGTTTAAAAAGGACTTTTCAATTGTGAGGAGAATCAAAAGCAGCATTTACAGGATGGTTGCTATGGTAGCCAATTTTGAATGAGGTTTAATTTTAATGAGAGTAGACAAAGGGTCATACACAATATATGAAGAAGTGTTTGAATAAAAGTGACTGAAAGAACTGATGGAAATATCCATTTAAAAGGACTGAACATGATTATGTTCAACATGGCAACTGCTTTGGTTCTTTTGTTTAATTGAACTTTTTTTGCATTTAGGAAAAAATAATAATGTTGTTATCAAACACTGCAGAAGACCCAATGTTGTATACAAACACTGCAGAAGACCCAATGTTATAAACAAACACTGCAGAAGACCCAATGTTATATACAAATACTGCAGAAGACCCAATGTTGTATACAAACACTGCAGAAGACCCAATGTTGTATACAAACACTGCAGAAGACCCATGCCAAATGTTGCGGGGAAAAAATATAGTCCATTGACACCAACCATTCCGAGACTGGGTATGATTATCAATTCTTCTTTCAAGATGGCTGCCATAGTGGCCATTTGTATCTGGATTTTAGCCCACCATCATCTGATGGTGGGCTATTCAAATCGCCCTGCATCCGTGGACCATGGTCCGTCCTTAAACATTTTTTGTTATCGCTATTTCTCAAGAAGTACCTGAGGGATGTTTCTCAAATTTTATATGTAGGTTCCCATTGGTCCGTCGTTGTGCTGGACAACTGTTGAAACTGATCGGATAAACAACATGGCCGACAGGCAGCCATCTTGGATTTTGATAGTGAAGGTTTGTCATGGCTATTTCTCAGGAAGTTACCACAGGGATCTTTCTTAAAAAAAATATATAGGTTCCCCTTGGTATGAAGTTATGCATATTTTCTTATGAGACTGATCAGATAAACAAAGCTTTGATTTTGACAGTTAAGGTTTGTTAGTGCTATTTCTCAGGAAGAACTGGAAGGTTCTTTCTCAAATTCTATATGGAGGTTCCCCACTATCCTTTATTGTTCATGTATACTTTTGAAACTGATCAGATAAACAAAATGGCCTGCCGACAGCCATCTTCGATTTTTGACATTGAAGGTTTGTCAGTTCTATTTCTCAGGAATAACTTGAGGGATCTTTCTCAAATTTGATAGGTAGGTTCCCCTTGATCTCTCGTTGTGCATGTTATATTTTGTGACTGATCATGAACAAAATGGCTAACAGTAGAACGAGACAGATCTTTCTCATATTGCAATGATCGTTTCTATTTCTTTCTCATTTAGTACTGTTCTAGTAAATATGTGAAATGACAAACTCATTTTTAAGGTTGTCTTTTATACACAGCAGTATTAAGTTTAGATCAAAACTTACCTCAAGGTGCATTTACTATTAACATTACTCGATCAAACAGATAAGAGAAAAGAAGAGAAAATATCGAACTGACAAAGAACTAATGAAGATGGTACAATGGTGGGTGCCAAGATCTCTCTGGGATCTCTTGTCTTACAACTCAAGTTTAAAAAAATATACGAATGCGGGAAGGACTTACTATTCAGGAGAAAGACAGTAAGTCTCCTTTCTCAAGGTGGGAATATGCCACAGTTGACATTTTTAATCTAAGACCACTCATTTCATTGTTCATATAAAAGCAATGTCATACTCAAACTCAAGTTATGTTCTCATAAATATATATTTCTTTTAGTTTGACAAGTGAAGTTCTTTAGCACTACACATGGAAATGGTTATCAACTACAAGCTGGATACCAACAAAAAATAAATAAAATAAGATCTTTAAGAGGTCCTGTTTGTCCTGAATAATAACAGAATTGAAACACTGTAGCCGACTTAAAGCATGAACACAGATTTAATGAGTGCCTGTGTTGCAAGGACAAGGCAGTGTAATGGTTGAAGAGCTGAATACAAAGAAAGATAACTCCTCCTTACGTGGGTCACAATCCAAATAGTTGTTTTATTTATTGTAAACTGGAATACTATGTAGAAAAATAACAAGATATGCAGTATACATATTGACAGGAATCTGTGATGGAGGAAATATAAATGGTCATAAAGGTGTTAGGGTTTTCTGTGAACCTTCTGATTCAACAATATTTAAGATTCATTTAGTTACTTGCCTCGGACTTAGATAACTAATCTAATTCCGTGATAGGACAAGCTTATTGTCAGGACCATTGCCTGTGGGGTCGAGCGACAGACTGAGAATTTTCTGGGCGGCGCTTAATAGCACTGGGAAGGGGAGATAACAGTAACTTACTGTACAGGGGAGACGGCCTCAGACCACGATAACACTTTTGGGTCGTTGTACACGAATGTAGTGCATAAGGACATTTCAGGTGGGTTACTAAATAACTTTTCCTGTCTGAATTATGAGAGATATGTACAGTTTTTTTTTACATAGAATTGTTCAACAGTATCTATTCTAGTGATTAAATTTTATTTGACACAGTTTCCAAGTTTGTCTTGGCAGCAGGACACAATGAGTGATGAGGCTTGCTCAGTGTTATTTTGTGATTTTTAGTATTTTCCCCTTTACATGCAGGGTAGTGACATTCAAATTAAATTATCTTTCTTAAATGCCTGCCATGAGGTACTTTCCAGCTCACTATACGTTCAGTTTTAATAGATCTACAATATGAAATAGGAACCAGGCCCTTTGCAAAGTTTTAAAATATTTTAATAATTTATTTCCTTTGGTATACCATATAGTAGAATTAATTGTGGTCTGAGGCCAGACAACAGTAACGTTCTGTACAGGGGAGACAACAGTAACTCACTGTACAGGGGAGACAACAGTAACTCACTGTACAGGGGAGACACCACTAACGATCTGGACAGGGGAGACACCACTAACGTTCTGTACTTGGGAGACACCACTAACGTTCTGTACAGGGGAGACACCACTAACGTTCTGTACAGGGGAGACAACAGTAACGTTCTGTACAGGGGAGACAAAACTAACGTACACCTAACGTTCTGTACAGGGGAGACAACAGTTCAGGGGAGACACCACTAACGATCTGGACAGGGGAGACACCCCTAACGTTCTGTACTTGGGAGACACCACTAACGTTCTGTACAGGGAAGACAACACTAACGTTCTGTACAGGGGAGACAACAGTAACGTTCTGTACAGGGGAGACAACACTAACGTTCTGTACTTGGGAGACACTACTAACGTTCTGTACAGGGGAGACAACAGTAACTCACTGTACATGGGAGACAACACTAACGTTCTGTACAGGGGAGACACCACTAACGTTCTGTACAGGGGAGACAACAGTAACGTACAACTAACGTTCTGTACAGGGGAGACAACAGTAACTCACTGTACAGGGGAGACAACACTAACGTTCTGTACAGGGGAGACAACACTAACGTTCTGTACAGGGGAGACAACAGTAACTCACTGTACAGGGGAGACCCCACTAACGTTCTGTACAGGGGAGACACCACTAACGTTCTGTACAGGGGAGACAACACTAACGTTCTGTACAGGGGAGACAACACTAACGTTCTGTACAGGGGAGACAACACTAACGTTCTGTACAGGGGAGACAACACTAACGTTCTGTACAGGGGAGACAACACTAACGTTCTGTACAGGGGAGACAACACTAACGTTCTGTACAGGGGAGACAACACTAACGTTCTGTACAGGGGAGACAACACTAACGTTCTGTACAGGGGAGACAACACTAACGTTCTGTACAGGGGAGACAACACTAACGTTCTGTACAGGGGAGACAACACTAACGTTCTGTACAGGGGAGACAAC